CTTATAAACCAAATTTATCAAAAGTCTTAAAAATAATTTTTAATGCACAAAGTACTATACATTTATGCACAAAGTCTTAAAAATTTTAAAAACAACTCATAATGCATTAAGTACTACTACTTTATGCATTCAATCTTAAATCTACAATTAAAATAATGTATAGTACAAGTTACTAATGCATATTATTACTTTTTCTTTTCATGTTCTCAAGATACTTTTGGCACATTTCACCATTTCATACCTACATGTCTTCTCCCCATCCCCTGAGGTGAGATTCAAAATGATATTCACCATGAGTTATTAAAAGTTCTGCCATTCAATTGCTCTAGAACTCTTAGTCTCACGCTCGATCTCTTGATTCTTTGTTCTTGGTGTAAATCGAATACATTTGTGGAGTCGTTTAGATATGTTGGATTTTAAATATATTGGATTTTAGACTGTTATACAATTTTTTTCATCGATAGACAATAACTGGAACCATAACTCTTATTTATTCAAATTGTATTAATATGTAAAGACCAAATGTAACTTATATTATCGTTAAATCTTTTCTAATAAAACCAGTGAAACTTCAAAATCGTTAAAATTTACGGCTCCCGCCGCATTGCACGGGTACACAACTAATCATATGATAAAATTGTATGATTAGAAAAAGAAAAAAAAACTTATTTGGTAATTTTTTGAACTTATGAAAAAACTTATTTGGTAAATAATAAGTTAGCTTATAATCTAATTTTTTGAAAAACTAATTAAATTGAATTTTCAATTAGCAGGGTTTCTTTTTCCTTTTTTTTTTCTCCCAATTGTGCCTTTTTCTTTTTAATTGAGTAATTGTTCAAAATGTAGATTTAGGGACCATTTACTCGTACTCAGTAAGTGCTTATCGCTAATTTTAGTTCATTAAAACGAAAACGTATGTAACATTTTTATCTGGTAAGCACTTACCAGGTAAGAGTCATCACTCTCACTTACCGGGTAAAATTTAGTAAACGGCCCCTAAGATACTTTTATATTGTCATTGTCACCTTGTTTATCAACCAATAGTTTTTTTTTTTAAATTAACCTGGATATCCAACCCGCTATGCAAGCCGACTAATCCCAGGGCGACCACCTGCTTTGCAGATAGCCCGGAATCACCGCATTTGAACCTCCGTGGCCACAAGGGAATTTTTATTCCTCATTGGATTTGAATCTGGGACCTCCTGGTACTTTTAACCTTTGGAACCAAACTCAAACCAATCAGACACCACCCTTGTGGTTTAACCAATAGTTTTTACCAAATATAACTAGTTTATTCAGCTAACTTACCGATCAACATAGACTTAGGGGGCCATTTACCAAACGTTTACCCGGATAAGCACTTACCGAGTTACATTACCTTACCAGATAAATATGACAAGAACCAAGAATCATCTCCAATGAGAGCGAGACAAAAACCAAGACTCTTACCCAGTAAGTAAGGGCCACGACTTTTACCACGGTTAACACTTATTGGATAAATTGTTGCTTCGAATGCCTTTTTTGTTGACTAAAATTTTACCCAGTAAGGCAGTAAGTGATAACATTAAATTTTACCAGTAAACGCTTTCCAATTAAGTGTCTGCTAAACAACCCCTTGGTCGTTGATTCATATACCAATAAGCAGAATAAATTCCGATCAATGTACATCGTGTCCGTTGGTCTTCCGGGTATATACGTTTTCCAGAATTTCTCGTATATATCGTCGGGACGGATTTCTCATTGGCTACACTTAAGAAAACAAATCTAGAGCAATATACAACACTTCCTACATAATTATGAGACTCTACATTTACTTCTCAACAGTGAAACCAGGAATTGCATCATTGCTGATTTCAAAGGCATCAAGGCAAGATGGCTTTGCTGCTCCAAAGTAAAAGAAGGCCATAATCTTTGACAACTCATCTGCTGTTCTTGTTTCTGAAAACCAAGAAAAAAGGGATGGTTAAATGCATCCTCGTATACTGCTAAATACACCAAACTAATGATTTCCTCTTCTTATACATCAACATCAAGAGCTGTTTGGCAATTGCTGAATGGTTTGGTACAGAATGATTAAGAAGCTCTCATGATATAGTGCAAAATGAAATATAATTGTTTGGTAATTGTGTACAATGAAATTAGGACTCTTAATGGTTAACGGAGATCCAGGATACAAAATCATTCAGATGGTTTTAGAACCATTAAGAGACAGACTTTTTTTTTGCCAAACAAGATTCACCTCTTAACAATTCAGAGGTTGCCTCTTGATGGAACTATTAAGAGGTAAACAAACAAAAAAGAAAAGGTTTTATGGGTCGTTGGGAGGGTGGGAAAGATAGTAGGAACTAAGGGTGTAAATGATGCGAGTCGAGCTCGAGTATCGACATACTCAACTCGAACTCGATAGCCATTTCTCAAGCTCAAACTTGACTCGAGAACTCGCAATTAGTTAAAAACTAAATGCGAGTCAAACTCAATTGCAATTTTATGAACTCGAGCTCGAACCTGTTTGGAGCTCGAACTCCAACTTAAATCAAGCTCAAACCAAGTTCACCTTTTGAAATTTTTGGGTCTTTCTCTTATAAATTTTAAGCTTAAAGGTACTCTGTTAGTTTTTAAAAAACTAAAGAGATCCACTTTAAACTTCATCATCAAAAAGACAAAATTTAGAAACTCCATTCACCTCCCTCTCTTTTTATAACATCTCTTCACACTTCCTTTTCCAACTCTCTTCCAACATGGGACACCTTGGAAAACACTTTTATAGGTTTTTTATCTTTTTTTAATTATGATTTTAATAATAAAAATAATTGATTAGTTTTTATAGTTAGAAAATGCATAATTTTTTTCAAATATCTAAAATATAAGACATTTTTATTATTTATATTTTTACAAATTATAAAACTTATTATATTTTAAAACTAATCATATATAAAAAGATTGAGTATCTCACGAGCTTTTCGAGTCGAGTATTAGGTAGCTTGACTCGACTCGTTAATATGTCGAGCCGAGTTCGAGCTCGAGTTCGGCCAAGCCTATTCCAGTTGAGTGTTGACCAAACTTTGACAGAGTCGATCTTGAGTAGCTCGCGAGTTGCGTGTACTGTTTACATCCATAGTAGGAACATGAAGTTGGTGACAGTAGAAACAAGATTTATGGTAAAATAAAATTTAACGAGCCCAGTATAGCCTACTAGAGGTGTGGGCTAGCGGATGTACATAGATATGTCCTCTACCATAAAGAGCAGATAAATTGTTTCCGTGAAGACCCTCTGTTTGCAAAAAGTTCCCTGAAAGTTTCACAAAGCTTGCCAAATGAAGATATGGATATCCATAAGGCAAGTGAGGGATGGTGACTCTCACCCAGTCAAAGGCTTACCGGGTAAGAGATGTTTATGCTATGCTATTTTGATGACCGGGAATTTTACCCGGTAAGGCAAGTGAGGGTGATGACTCATTCCTGGTAAGTGCTTACCCAGTTTGTGTGTTAAACAGCCCCTAAAGGCCAGATATAAAATAAGCAATACTGGAAAGGCAGAAGTAGGTACAAGGAAACATAGCAAAAGCAATAAATATGTTTAGTACCTTTTTCACGGTGTAAGATCTTCCCAGCTTTTGTAAATATGAGCTCAGGAAAGACAGAAACTCCCAGTGTCGACACAAGATCACACTCGACAACAGCATCAATCGCGACACACTGTTAGAACAAAGCATAAACGTTTGATAATATGTGCTCACGATGTACATAAACATACATACACACACATATATGCATATATGTACACACACGCAATACAAATACACCCACACGTCTATATGTATATGTATATGCACATGCACATGCACATTTATACACGTATGCGTAGGGGTAGGTTCAAGATAGAACACCACAAAAAGAGATCAAGGGACCTATTTGTACCATCAATTTATTTTAATTCGACATTTGTGAATAAATAAGGCAGTTACATTTTGCTAAAACTAGATCCATGATTACATTCGAATATATGTCTTTTGGATCCAACGGTTGATAGGTATTTCCCTTGTTCTCCTTTTTTTGGGGTTCCATCTTGACAGTGCCTCTGAAGTCTGAATATATGTAAATGTAATATGGGAGAGGGGATGAATTTTTGGTTACCCTTGGTGATGGTAGCCTGCAATCCCATATGATCTGCACAGCTTTCTCCAATTCATCACGAACCATTTCATTTTGTTTCGGCCTGCCAGACAGAGAAACAATCTTAAAAGCAAGGTCGGCAAATGGGAATGGAGATCTCCACCGAAAACGAGATGCAAAAAGCAACCATCTCAACCATGCAAAACTACACAAATTAGATCTAAATGCCTCATAAAAGATTCACTGAACTTTCATCATGTGGATTTTCATATTGCAACCAGCTTTTAATCATTTTCAGGTCTGATCTTAATTAAAATCCCACATGCCATTTGCTTCTTGTTATGAACACAACAGAAAAAAAAAATTTCATGCTACTGTTTAACATCTATGATATTCCAAGAGACCCTATCACCATAATCACATTCAAAATGTGATGCAGTACACTCTCAATCGGGTTAGGACAAGAGACAACCCTTTGGAGAAATTTTGTCAAAAGGCGGAAACTCCAAGGAAAATACTACTCCCTCCATCCCAAATAAATGTCCACAATGAAAAAGGCTCAAGGTTTTCCATTTGAAAGAAATGTGAAATTATTACACCTTTTAGTTAACTTAATGACAATTTTACCCTTAACAAGAGATTGAGGAACAAATTTCTCCATCTCTAAGGGTAAAATTGGAAAATAGGTACACCCTGTTGGTAGAAAAGTTGGACCCCCTCAATATATTCTTCATAAATCCTGTCCATTCTTAAAAGAATAAGCAGAAGACCAACCTAATGTGGAGCTTTTAAAGGGTAAAATAATATATTTCTAAATTAAAATATGCTTACAACAGTGTAGGGCTAACTGCAACGATGGTCAACACCATCAGGAGTGGGTCTTTCCAGTGTTCAACTGGAATAGAATCATTGAATCCGGAGAAGGATAGAATTAGATGTTGGGACATCATTAGTCAGTCAATCAATGTTGATAACCAGTGGTTAGACTCTTTAGAGATAAAACAGTCCAACCACTGCCATACAAAAGCCAGAAGGACAATTATATGAACATTTAAGTCAAGATGGTTTAGTGGAAAGCTAACATGATAGAATAAAAGGCATAAGCTCAACCTACTTGATGAAAAAGGCAAAGAATAAAACACATAGCATACACACACTAACCTTCTATAACGATTATGCACAAGAACAACCAAGGGGCTAAGGTCTGAGAAAACAGTTTCCTCCCATTCTGCAGCAGTGATGTCTTTGACGGCACGGATATCTTGCCAATTAACTTCGTTCTCACTATCATCATCGTCATCATCTTTTTTTACATTCTTAATGGTCATTTTATCGAAAAACTGACTAAAGTTGAAACCCCATCCATCAGCATCTTCAGGCCAATCGGGATCTTCTTCATCTACAACAAGGGAATAATCAGTCAAAAGCTTCTGCATCTTTTTTCTCCTCTCTTCAGGATCAGCTTCTTCTTTGACCTCAGGGTTATTCTCGACAATTTGTCTAATCTTCTTCCTTAATTCTTTCCTCTCATCCTCATCCATTTCAAAATCACCATCCCCATCATCATCATCATCACTTTGATCACGCTTGTTTGATTTTTCAACTCCTTCCTTTTCATCATCACAATCCAAGAGGTCTTCCACTTTTGAAGCTCTCAAACTACTTTTTCTCGAATTTCCAGCCTGTTTTCAAATCCAATCCAATCAAGATATATTATGTTTCGTAGTAGGGTTTTGTAGCAAAATGGCACTTAACTACCAAATTGAAACTGAAAACAGCATAATCGTACCAGAAAGAGCGACCTCGGCAAACAAAGGCTTGTACAACGAAGCTTATCAAATGAAAGAGAAGCTTTTATTACATTATCCTTTGTATATACAGATTGGGAAAACGGCAGCAAACTTAATCCCGTACACTGTAATGACATTGCTATGAACTAATCCCAGTTTCCTACTCCTGAAAAGCCCTAGAGATAATCAAAGATGACCAAATTCAGTTAATTATGCATTTCAAAAGGAGCGTTCGCCTTCCAAAACCCTAGCCAAGTTGAGAACAGTTGATCATTCAAAAGGATTTACAGGAAACAGCAACAACTTTGGATAGTATAATCTCAACTATTATGTGCGTACAAGTACATATAAATATCGCATACAAAGCATGTAGCATATAGAAATAGTATGAGGAGATGATATGATACCTTAATATGAGGAGCAAGGGAGATTGCAGCGGAGGGACTTCAGCGAAGAAGATGATGAATTGAGCGAGAAATGAGGAATGGTGTATCAACTGGGTTTTATTTTGGACATTAGGCGTTTTGGGCCCATTGGACCGTTTAACAAAAATGGCCCAAATAAACCAGATTTGTGCATTTGGGCTGGTGATGGGAATTTGACCCTGAGATTCCTGGACTTATTGGGTAACGGGACTATAGGTCCCGGGTCAGGTAGGGTCTGAAGTGGTTCGGGTTCAGGTTCAAGATTAGAGATAGTAGGGATGACAAAAAAAACCGAAACCAATGGTGAAAACCGAAAACCAAAACTTTTGGGTCGGGTTCAAAGACGGGACGGGGATCGGGGATTTTATCGGGGACGGGACGGGGGGCCGGGGACGGTGATCATCGGCCCGGCCCGATATGTATATATATTAATTTTAATTTATATACATACATATATCTATACTATATTATAAAGCATTTGATAAAAACTCTTAAAAACCACTTTTCATGCGTAAAATACTGTTTATTAATGCATATTACTTAAAACTCAATATTGCAAGTAGATTGTGTTTAAGTACAACTTATTAAAGCTCCATATCTGAATTCGTGTAACTAACTCCATATAAACATAATCAAATACATGATAAACATCTTATTTTAAATATAAAAAATCTGAAATATAATTAGGATAATCATTAAGTTCTAACCAAATACTTAATTATTATCGTTATAAAATATTATATTATTAAACCAAAAATAAATTATTTTGTTATTAAAATTAAATTAAATTATAATAAAAAAAATAAATTAAAGAAATTACATAAAAAATGAGAACTTTTAAATAATTGATTTGATATTAACATTGATATATTTGTTTTCMAATTTTTATGATATCTTCAAATTTATATTTTATTCAAAAATAAAATCATTAATGTTTTCTTAAAAACACATAAAATCGTATTATAAAATCGACAGAAACAAATAATAAAATAAAATATTAAAATCGAGATGTGTCTCGCTGCATTGCGCGAGTACTCTTCTAGTATATATATATATATATATATATATATATTATCATTAAAAAAATAGTAACATTAAAATTTAAAAGACTTTTATCCACTTTACCTCAACAATTCAAATAAAGCTCACGAAAAAGTTTAGTTTATTTGTCTAAAATCGTGATTTTAATTGTATGATGTTTGAATTTCTGTTTAGTTTTATATTGTAATCTAATACATTATTTGTAATTGGTTCGATTATGTTTGAGATACTTAAACTTACATCTTTAAAAAAATTGCAATTTACTTTTAATTGTGAAAATTAGCATATTGTAATTATTTTCCAGATCTGTTTCGGGTTCGGGTTTGGTTATAACCAACGGTGAAAAATAGGATTTTTACCCTTAACTTAACTGGTTCCCAAACGGGGATCGGGGAAACCGCGTGCACCCGATGGGATCCCCGACGGGGATCGGGACGGTTTTAGCTATCGGTTTCGGAGACGGGGATACCAATACCCGGCCCATTGCCATTCCTAGGAGACAATACTACCCACTCTTAATACCTGCTATGTATATTATATAACAAAAGATGACAAGATTAAGATAATCGTCTTTTAGTACATCTTCAATAACTATGCTAAAATATGATTTCTGGTGGTCTTAGAGTTTTTTTTGGTTCCAACAAACATGTCATAACGTATGCTAAAATAGATAAAAGAAGAGAGAGAGAGTGTAGTACACAATAGAAACTATAGTTTATAACGTACTTTTTGGAAGGATCTTTCTATGTAAAGATCTATATCGATATAAGTATACATATAAAATGAAGATTGCAGGGTATGAAGTAGTATTATGGGATTTAAGTATTAAAAATATTCAACTGTGGTGTTGTTTTCAGTATTCATATTGATGGGGGAAATGATAGATTGAATGTCATTATATATATAAAAGAAAATTAGTAGATGTATGAAATATATTATGATATTTGAATTGTGGTATTATTTATGTTACCTCACGTTATGAATCACATAAGAGATTGGAGAATGATTATAAATATATGAAATGAGAAGATATGCATTTGAAAATTAAAATGATTACTTGGCTAAAGTGTACAGTTGATTCATATCTTGCGAAAAAATCGATATAAAAATAAATTTTAACTGAATATTTATGAATAAAAAAAAAGATGATAAATGTTTGAATTGTATAATAAGATTTGAGCTGTTAATTTAGTTATCTAACTTTGTCCATTTGTTAAAAATATTCATTAAAACTCAATGTCACATTGTTTTTACACAAATTTGTATCATCGTCCAACGCACAATGTCGAATACTAGTATATATATATATATATATTAAAGGAGAAACCAAACATAATGATGTGTCATCCTCTAAACATTAAAAGCCTATATTTCTTTTTCTTAGATTTTCGATTTTTTAAAATATTTGATGTGTAAAAGACTTTTGCATCCCTATATCTGAAACATGAAATTGATTAGTATAAAGTTGTTTTGGTAATTTTAAAAAGTTTAACCTCCAACCTTTTTTTCCCTGGTAAACTTTTTTTCACCCTTCATCATCCCTTGATTTCTTCTTTCATTCTATAAACTGTATTATTCAACAAGATCGTTTTTCAGGTTTACTATTATAATACTGATTTAGGTATTATTCTTCTTCTCTATCAGTTGATGTATTATTCATTTTACAAACCGTTATTCTTCAACAAAATCTTTTTTTTCAGGTAAACTTTTATTCTCTCTCTTAATCACTTGATTTGTTCTTTCATTTTATAAACTCTTATTATTCAACAAGATCGTTTTTCAGGTTTATTATGAGAATACTAATTTAGATATTATTCGTGACTTTTGTAGGGATTTTAGAGTTTATTTTCTTACTTTGTCTTCTATATTTTTCTTAAGTTTTTTCAATGAAATTGAGGGTTTGTTCTTGGCAGCGGTTATAGAGTTTTGATGGCAATCCATGATATAACCTCAACAAATTTCAATATGTTTTTTTTTTCAGATTTACTACAAAAAGATTAATCTTAAATTCTCTTTTGACTTTTGTTGGGATTTTAGACTTCTTTTTTATTTTCTTTTTTTATATTTTTCTTAAATTTTAAATTTTACTAATCATTTTATTTACATGACACTTGAATATAATAATATGTAGGTTTTTGTTTACATAACAATTGAATATAATAAAAAACTAATTATAATTGATATATATATATATATATATATATATATATATATATAAAGGTTGGTTATTATACAATCCTTTACATTTGTACAACCAATGTAACCTAATCTCAACCGTCCATTTAATTTGATGAATATGTGATTTTATAGAAGTTTTGATTGTTTCTTGATATAAAATATTAATCATAATTAATGAACTCTATTCATCTACCATAAATATTCAAATCATAATAAATAAACTCTCATCATTTTCATAAATATCTCAAGTAATTAGGTTGCATTGGTTGTACAAATAGACATGGTTGTATTTGAAATATATCCTATATATATATATATAATTAAAATGAAGATAGTGATTAATCACATTAATTTAATACCTTTTAGTTTACAAGTAAAAACACCCTCACTGCAATCAATATACATAAATAAAAAAACTTATAAATAACTTATCATTCATTACTATTTTCATATACTGCTATTTTTATATATAAGTGAATAATCATTGACATTAATTATTATTTACACACCACATATTATATATTTTAATATGATTAAGGGGGTGTTTGGTTAGAGCTATTAAACAGTAATTAATGTGAATAAAAATAAAAAAAAACTATTTGATTTTATATAATATAATAAGTTCATTCCATCAGAAGTCCAAATTTCCATGCCAAGTTAAAGTAGGAGGAATAAAAATTCATCACATTTTCATTCCTCCACCTGAACCAAACACCCCCTAAATGGTCATTATAAATTATAATTAATTATTATTTACATACAACTTTTATTTTTATGTATAATCAACATTAATTATTATATACACAACACTTATTATAT